ACCAAAGGCTCTCCCAATTTTTGCCACCCCCTGCCCCTGAGACTCCTCCCACCCTTGGCTTCCACTTATTTATGCCCTCCTCCACTGTCTGTCCCACTGGCACAGCTGCTGAGCTGCACCTCTTCACTAGGCTGAGCCAAGCCTGGAGAGCAGCAGCAGAGGTGGTGGCAGCAGGACATGCAGGTAAACCCTTCCTTGCCTGCTTTCCAGGATAGAAAGTGTGGTCAACAAGAAGAAAGCAGGCACCAGGGGCAGGGTTCTGGGGTGGGACAGAGAGTCAGTGGGCCCAATCTGGCCCAGCAGGGAAGTAGGTGCTTACACTGGTATAGCCAAGTGGCTGCACCTTAGTGTAACACAAGCTGAGTAACATGGATCAGACAGAATCCTGCCCTTGAGTGGGGTTAGCTTAAGCCACCTAATGAATGATTAAAACCAGTTTCAGGTGTTAACACGCAGATAATCTAGGGGCTAAGAGCTCCAGGAGCTGCCCAAAATGACCATGTAACAAGGCGCATAGTCAGACTGTTAACCAGCGGAGCTATGCAAACAGTAGGCATCTCACACCTCAACTACTGTGAAATGCCGCAAGATGATTTAAATAAGTTTCTGCAACAAAAGAAATCCTGCATAGCAGGCTAAATCCAGAAGCCCTTATTGCCATAAAACTCCTACTAGTAGCTTTAGTGAATAAGGCTTTCTTCCAGATTTCACTCATTTTCTTTTTCAGTCTCAGCACTTTCAAAATTGTTTCTCTTCCTATTGCCATGGATGGAACACACCTGCATAACCGATACAAATTTTTGTCTGCAAATATCTTTATTTGCATTAACATCTGTGCATATTTCTGCCGTGCTGAACAAAACTGGGGGAAAACACTTCTAAAACTTCCTCCCTATTAAGATAAAATATGCCGCTAGTTCACATATCTCTTCCACTTCTATTTTGTCTGCACCAGAGGCTCTTCTTTGCAGTTCCTCTCTGTAAAGTAGATGGAAAGGCATAGCAGAACAGCTCTGTGCCTAAGGCCGTGATGATTAAGACCATTGCTTTTGCACCCGAACCCAAAAGGTAGCAACCAGGGCTGCTGCCTCTGTAGCCTGCCCTCAGTTACACTACTGAGTAGGCGACGTCTTCTATTGTTGTCCTTTGCCCATAGGACCAATGCCTAGATTGGAAGAAACAAGCACTCTCTAGACATAAAGCCTGGCTTCTTGTTAACAAGAAGGACAATCTGAGAATCAAAAGGATGGTCAAGTTAGGGGCCTAGTTGAGGATCTGGAGAACCTAGGTTGAGGTTCCTGTTCTGTCACTGTCCTCCATTGTGATCTAGGGCCTCACAATGCCTCACCTCCCCATCTGTGAAATGGAGATACTAGTACTTCTAAACACATTTATAGGTGTGAATTATTTGACTAAAACTAGACTAGGGAGTAATAGAAGAGTGATGTCATAGCTGTGATGGTCCAGAAATTATGAGAGGCAAGGATTTCTTAGGGTGATATTTTTTATTGGGCCAGCTATGTAGTTGGGATAAAGTTCAAAAACCTTTTGAATACAAGGAAGGACCCAATGAAGAGCATCTCATCCTAAGAAATCCTTGCCTCTTGCATACAAGGGAGTAAAACATTGAGACTATAACTAAGCACCAACAAAACAAGAATCAACTCTTTGGCATTTTTGCCAGACAAGCTTTGATGAGGGGGGATGTTCTATGTCTGTGCTGTGATGCTGCAATGCAGGAGTTGGCTTGTACTCACCACCCAGTCTGCTTTACGAACACATACTAGAGGCTACAGGTAAAAGATGACTGCTTAGGCCATGTAGCCCAGCTTCCTGCCAAAGCAAGCACTACTCCCCACAGTACATGCTCTGGTGCTCTAAGTGAGGTTGAGACTCAGCACTGGGGAACAAGATCCAAACAATACAAATCTTTAATAAACCTAAACTCATCACTCCAATTTCCATAGCTGAAATATGGAAAAGGCAAAGCATACTAGTAATATAAATGTTGATGAATTAGTGGCTCAATACTTCAGTCCTAATAAGGCTTCAGACCTAATAATCTGAAATGCTAATGGTAACACTGATATGGACTGAAAGAAATCTGCACCTATCTATAGCTCATCAACAGCCATTTACAATTTGAGACAAGACATGAAAGCTTACTACTGCACTATGGAGGGGGCAAGAAAGTCCATCAACAATATCAGGAAGGAACCACTAGACAGACAAGAATTCTGCAACCCTGAAATCTCATTCTGCTCCTGAAACTGGCAACAAACTCACCATTGATGTCAACGGGTGGAGCAGGACTAGTTTCTTCTACCCCCATAGTCTGGTACAAAGACTCTCCCCTGCTCCTGCCACCCCATCCCCATAAGCTGCCCAGTGCATCCTTGTAGAGCCCTACTGTTTAACAGTGAGGCTCCACTGCTGAAGCATACTGACAGGGTTGCAGGAGAATGAGAACAATCCTTACTCATGGCCTTAGGCCTGCTCTAGTCTGCTTGAGTAAGCACTGTAGCATCAGACCCATATAAACCTTCATTTCTCTTAGAGTTTCACTTGCATTAAACAGAAAGCCCAAGAAAGTGGAACTCCACCTACACACAGAATACCACTGTGGGCACGCAGACAGACAGCACAGACCTGGCTGCTCAGTATAATCAAATACTTTCCAGGAAGATGATGAAGAAAGTCAGCTATTTTGGCTGAAATGTGGTACATAAAAACCCAACTGCAGGCGTCATTCTAATTAGCTCAACAAATCTACAGTACGAAACCGAACAGAGTTCAGTCAACTCCGCAGCAACACAAGCCTTCCATGTGTTCTCTCACGTCTGCGCGGCAGATTTGCCTGGTTTTACAGGCCACACAGAGAGAGATTATAAAGCAGTTTAGCTTTTTAGTGCAAGTCTTTTTCCTCAAGGCAGCCATCCTTGCAACCTGCCTGCCATCACAAGCAAAACAAAGCAGTTTTATTACTCAGAAATGAGTCCGAACCAAGACCCCAGATGTAAATCTGGAACTCTGGAGCCAGACCTGAGTCTGATTTCTGCCTTTTTGGGTCATAATGTTGACTAGCCTAGACAATGGGAAGGGCAAGAAATAGATCTTGCCTATAGATCAAGGAAGTGGAGGAAGGACGGCTTCTTGGTGATGAACCTAGCTGGGACACAGAAGTTCATGGTTTGACTACTGGTTTTTCCACAGACTTTCTGTGTGATCTTTGGAAAGTCCTCTAACTTCTTAGTTCCTCAGCTTTCCACCTGTAAAATCTGGTATAAAAACAGGCCTTTCAGTCTCACTCCCTCCTCCTACCCCCCCACCTTTTCTGCCTTGCCTTTTATCTTGTGACTTCTAAGGCAGGGTCTGTCTCTTACTGTGTGTCTGTACAGCTGCTAACAAATCAGCTCCAATCCTGCAGCCTTAGACCTCTGGGCATTACTGTAACAAACCAAATAATATCAAGCAGAGGACACTCCACAATGGAAAACCAGCTGCATTACTCACCAGGCTTCTGATACCAGCCAAATGGGTATGTATTGGATTCTGCATCTGAAGAGCTGCAGTCTGAAACCTGCCAAGCGCTCCTTGTTTCCTCAGCACAGGTCTGGATTCCTAAACCATTCAGTGTCAAGCACAACACCTTGCCACCTGCCAGGAACATGTCCAGTTACTCAAACCACAGCAGCAGCTCTCAGATTTAAAGTAACATTGTTAAGAAATTGTTCAGTCTATACTCTGGTTCTGCTTTTCTGGTTCTACTGAGCTGCAAACAAGCAAACCCCCAAGACTCTGAAATTAGGGAGGGAAATGCCCTTTGAACAGCATTAAGACTAGATCCTGCTCCTACTGCAGTTACAAATGAAGCTTTTCTTCATTTCAGTGGAAACAGGACTAGGCACCAAGGGCTATGTCTGAAGCCTACTGAAATCAGTGGAAGTCTCTGTGATAACTTTACCGGGAGCATGATCAGACTGTTCAGGACATCCCCTTGCCAGTGCAGAGTGACCTGGGGAACTGCGTTGGGAGTAGATTTGTTGGGAAGGGAGTGGGGAAGGGTGATATCACCTGCTGCAGCAACCAAACAATTATGTTAGCAGCTTGGTGACAGCCACAAATCATTTACCCCAGATGTCCCACTGCCCCAGGTACCCAACTGCTTTGTTACGTGTCTGTGCAGCACAACTGCATTTCTGTCATTTAAAGCCTGTTATCGCTTCCACTACAGTCAATAATGAAAAGTCCAAGTGAGTTTATTAGTGGTGGATCTTTAAAATGCTAGTAATGACAAAAATCAGTGAGAAATATAAAGAAAACTGTGGTGACCAATCAGCAAAATTGGACCCCCTACCCCTCTTCTTTCCTTTCAAATTAGAGTTTAAAAACACAGCACAACTTAAAACAATATTTCAGGAAGAGTTTGGATTTAATGAGATCACAGAACTAGGCAATGTGTGCAATATTGTTATTCTGCCTGAATGGAGGAGTACATAAACAGATTTTAGGCATGTATGGATTTATTCTGAATACAATTTAGAAAGGAAAAATGAATACTTAATAGATCTTGGAAGAAAATGTTGTCTTTGGTGTCTCAAATTAACCTCCCAAAATACTCAGGTAAAAATAAGTGGTGGACAATTTGAAAAGTTGTACAGAAAAGATCTGGCCAAAGGCTAAGACTTTACAAAACAACTAAGGGAAGTAGGTGCCCAGCTCCCAATTTATTTCAGTAAGATCTGGGTTTCTAATTACCCTATGCATTCAAACAAAGTCTTAAGAAGAGGGCTAGCAAGTGATACATTGTAACAATATATCTTTTATCAGGCTGCCTAAATACTATCTGTATATATAATATAGATCTATAGCACTGCTAAGAAATCATTCCCAATCAGTGTTATCTGTAAGAACTGAAGTGCTCAGCACCCTTTGCTTTGGCCCTGAAGAAGGTAACATTACTTATGCTTGGACCTGGATAAGATCTTGCAAGGGTTTTATTATGGTCATCTCACACTGAAATGAATATAGAAATGAATATAGACTGAACAATGAATGATATAACATCAGAAAAAAGTACCTGTTGACTGTAAGCCATTTAAAAGCCCGAATCCCATGCAACAGGGGTCAGCATCACACCAACGCTCACATTCAAAAAACCTGATGGGGAAAGGAGAAGAAACACTATGGAGTTTAGTACAGTTGATCAGATGTTATTGCTACAGCCTTGTTTACAATTGTTATGTGGGGTTTACAGGCTCCCAAGGACAGAGCCAACGCATTGTGATGAGGAGTTATGGAAAGTCTGCATTCCCTGCCAAAAAGGACCACTGCCTAGTTCTTTGCATTGCATATACAAGAGCTCAGCTGTGATGTATAACCCAGTCAATAAACATTTGCTTTCTTAATTTAGTTATTTAGAACATTACTTTGATGGCTGTACTTGAAATTTTAGCACAGATTAATTTGTGTGTTATTGCCAACATTTCAGTGGGCTGATTGAATAACTGTACGGCATTACATTACGCATACTAGATAGTACTGTTACACCCATTGCAAATTCACTCAAAATCCTGTGATTAGGGTTTGTATTGATTATTTTCACATACTGCTATTCTTTTCTTTGATATTTTTAACAGAAATGCCACTGGCACATTATGGTCTTGGCATTTGCACATGGCCAAGGCCCCAGGATAACAAAACTGAGCCACGTTGAAACGTACCCATCGGAAATGGCTTTCCCACTCAGGTCAATCTTGTTTCTTACTGCGATTCCTGTTACTTTGCGGAATGGCAAACGTGTGTAGAAGTTCTTCACAGTTGCTCCTAGAGTGACTGGGGAAATAAACCCACAGGAAAGTTACTTCTTGTTCACATTATTCAAATTATGAAGTAAACATAACATCAAAGGCAAAAGCAATGTTTCCGTGATAGAACTGGAACACATCTCAAAGACATTCAAATACTGTCCATAGTGGATAACGGTCTGAAAACTTCTGATGGAGAGAGACAGTGCAATGGGGTTTTGTGAATACCTTTCCAGTAAGAACTGACTTGATATCACCAGCACATTGACCACCAAATGATACTAGATGTTTTCCACTCACTAATCCTAACTCTACATAGAGATGAAAGGCTATGTCCATAGTGGTATGAATTGCCATTCTAGGCCAGACAAAAAGTCCCTCTGGCCTGGGATCGTGTGTCCAACAAGGACAAGTAGCAGATGCTTCGGATGAAGAATATTAGAAACAGACGTGTGTCGACTGATCCATCACCTCTCATGCTCCAAGGCACCAACAGTAGGTTGCATCCTTAATTGTTATATTTAATAGCCTCTGATGGACCTATCCCCCATAAGTCTATTCCCCTTTTCAAGTTGGTCATAATATTGGCCTCCACAATATCCTATGGGAAATGCGTTCCACACACTAATCGTGCAATATATAAAAATTACGTCCTTTTGCTTGTATTGTTGTTTGTTAATTCCACAAAGTGGCCCATAATCCTTATGTTATAAACACAGTACATAACAGTGCCTTATTAACCATCCCTGGATTTTACATTACTCTATCACAACCTTCTTCTGATGTCTCTTTTCCATGCTTTAGAGAACTAGTCCTTTCAGTTCCTCCTTACACAAGCCACTCCTTACTTGTGTTCCCTTGACCTTCTCATACGCTTTTTGAGAGGTGGGGACCAGAATTGCACAAGTATTCAAGAGATGGGAACATCATGGTTTATGGCATAATGGTATTCCTGTTTTGTTTACAGTTCCTTCCCTAATGATTCCCAACATTTTATTTGCTGTTAGATCATTACTAGACACTGAACAGATTTCTCCACAATGATCTGAAGAGCTCTTTTCCTGAGTAGTAACAGCTAATACAGAATCTATCACTGAGTATATACAGTTAGGGTAATTGTTTCTTTGTACTTATCAGTGTTAAATTTTGCCTGACACCTGGATGCCCACTTGCTCAGTTTGGTGAGATCTTTCTGTAATTCCTTACCATCAGCTTTGGATTTGGTTACCTGGAATTTTTTCTGACCTTCTGTAAACTTTTCTACTTCAATGTTTATTTCCTTGATAGAATTCACTTCTGCCTTCTGATCTAACAGCCTTGAAATTAAAAGCTGAGATGCTGATTGACACTACCGGGAATACACATTAGGGCTATGCGAAGCTTCGGGTGCTGATTCAGTTCAGAAGAGATTTGGCCTGATTCGGTGGCTGAACCTACAAATCCAAATTGGATTAGGAGACCAATAAAAAGGTCCAAATTAATTCGAAGCTCTCCAAATTGATTCGGAAAAGATTTGGAGAACTTCGGAGATTCGGACAGTCCCCACTTGCCACGGCATAGAGCTGGACCCAGACTCCATGCTGGTAACTGGGGGCTGGGGGGGAAGAGAACCATGTGGGGGACCCGCGGCAGGCCCCATCCTCTGCCTGCTCCCCCCAAACCTCCTGATCACCCCCAACCCCTGCCCACTCTCCCAGCCCTCCCCTGCCCATAACCCCACCCAGCTCCCTGTTCTTTAAAAATAAGTTCTGCACTAACCAGCTGCTGCTGCAGCGGCCATTGGGGCTTCTGGGGGCTCATGGCAGAGCCCCCCCACACAGTGTGGGGAAGTGGGCAACAGCAGGGATCACCCCCACCTCCACCCCGCCTGGCAGCAGCCAGTGAGTGGGGCTTTATTTTTTTTAAAGACCTGGGAGCTGGGGCTGGGCAAGGCAGCCATTGATGGGGCTGGGAGAATGGGTGGAGGATGGGGTCTGACCAATTCAGAGATTCTGCAGCAGCCAAATCTCCAAATCAAATTCAGCAAAATCAATTTGGGACAGTAATTTGAATCACTGAATCCAATTAGTCCCCCCCGAATTGGCCGAACTCAAATCTGAAGTGAATACTAGCCGCTTCGCACAGGCCTAAACATACACACATATACAGTGCAACACACAAATTAAAGCTCACCTCTTTTGTAATGTACAACCTGAGGTTCCCGAGGTAATATAATCTGGCAGCTGTCAGGGATTTTATTGACGGAGTTATCGCAGACCTGAGCCTCTGGATAGAGGGTGCAGACGAAGTAGGTGCCTGTGGTGTTCTGAAGATCCACCAGCTGACAGAACGCACCCTCTTGTGTACAGCCTAGGCAGCAGAGAAGCTCAATTGAAAAAAAATCACAGTGTTTGTTCCTTTCTTCATTCCCCTTCATATCTTTGTTAATAATTCTGAATAGCAAACCTATCACTCAGCTACATACTAGCAAATGACAGAGGTCTCTATGATTATGCTCTTATTGTATAAGAAAAACAGGGACAAATTCTTTCTTGTACGTTACACTACTGGAAATCCAGAATAATTTCACTGACATCAATAAAGTCACTTTAAATGGGGACAACAGAAAGAAGGAGCTAGTTCACAAGCTTTATTTATTTCAGATAATCTTTGAGTAAAAAAATGGCATCATAAAACAAAAGCAATAGATAGTGTTATCTCCTTACTAGTTCACAACATAATCGTTTCAGTAACAGTGGATGCATCAGTGACATATGTATATTTCTTTGGGTTTAAAAACAAAATAAAAATATGCTCAAACTTTTTTTTTTAGAAGTTTTGTTAGCAATCTACCTTGAAATTCATCCCATGATAATAACGTGCTTTAAAAAAATTAATGAACTGATCGAGCGAATTTCTTAGTTATTGCAGCACTGGATTTCTTCACCTTTTATAACTAACTTTTTTTTGACTGTTACTCTATTACTGTCTACCTGGGAGTGAGATAGATAGCCCAAGTTATGAGTAGCTGTGTCTACACTAGGAAAAAAATGATACCTGTAATTCTCTGGGGCCCTGCTTCAAACAGCGTGCAGCATTCATGTAGAGGACACCACAGTGTTTCTAATGCTCTCATCTAAGCTGCACAGGTGACACGGTGAACACTGCTTATGCTAGTTTCTCTTGCTGCCGTACATCCAGAGAAAATGCACTGGTAATAAAGTGCCAGTGTTTGCCATGGGAGGCAAGAGTAGGGGGGGAAATGGAGTGGGGGCTATGTTGGCAGTTTTGTATGAGTTGAACAGCCTCTCAGTGAGGCTTGTGATTATAATGCCTAATTCCTACATGAATTTGCTGCTTTGCCTTTGAAAAAATGTTTAAGTGTAACAGCCATGACCATGAGAGTTATTAAAACACTTCAATTCATTGTATATCTCCCCACTCTCCTATAGAATAGAAGTAGTTTAGACTTCTTACGAGTGAGACACCAGCGTGTTGCCTGCTTTAAGGAGAACTTGTGCTTGAAGAGCCAGTATTCCTGGGCCGGGAGGGAACGGCTCTGGTCAATTTGTATTAGGTTGTTGTCCATGACAGAGAAAAGTTCTCCTGCAGATTCTGAGATGGAAAAAAAAAAGAGCAAGTATTTATTTACAAATCTGGAATAAATTAGGAGTGTTTATACATAACACTCTTCATTTCACAGTGTAACTAGTGCACAAGACATTAAGGACTGGCTTTGAAACAGAGCTGTCTCAGTATTTTTTATTGGGCTTTGTGCCACGACTTTATCTTTCTTTTCTCCGAAGTCATTAAAGAGGCTCAACCTCATCATGACCTAGTCTTCTCATAACATCTCCAACATCCAAACATTGAAAAAGAATCGCAACCATCAGCAACGACAACACTCTATTGTTTTCTCCAGCCCATCTAGATGTCAAAGAAGGATCATCCCTCAAAACATATTTTCTAGTATTTTATCCAGGTCACGTTTCACTGTCTGAAGCCATGCAGTTTCCATATGTTCTCTGGAGAAGCTAGTCCACACCCCACTGTCAAAAAGTTTTTCCTACTAGTAAGCTTAAATGTACTTTTTAATAATATAATCCCACACTCCTAGTTATGCTCCCATGCACAACTCTATATAATTCTTCTATATCTTTGGTGTGCATGTGATTCTTCAAAAGCTGCTTTCTGTGAGCTCTCTGAGCCAACCTCAGCTATTTCTAGCTCTTTTTTAATCATTTCCCCATAAGTAATAGCTTGTTCAAACCTCTGAATATTTTTTGCTACACTTCAGTGATCGCCTTCCAGTTCAATAACTACCTTCTTATTTGTCAAATAGCATGCGCACACCTCATCAAACAACGCTTTGGCTCTGTTGCACTTTTGTGTTAGTCCCTGAAGCATTAAAGTCACTGAAAAATGTAAACACAAAACTAAAGCAGAGCTAATACTTGAAGAACAAATGCTAACCCATGTGATCATGTCCTAAAGTGCACAGAGTGGCTATGTCTCTTCTTTTATGCGAAAATATGAAAAATTCTGAGTTCTAAACACAATCACACAGGGATAAAGTGCTTGGTTCTTGCATAAATTTCCTCCAGATTTAGCAATTGCTATTTTTGAGAGATTACCTGAATGCCTTGTTACTTGTCAAAATCCAGTTTCAAGCCTTTGGTTTCCTAAGATTCTCTTAAAATAGCACATAACATGACTAATACTTAAATCATAGTGCAGAAATCTGCATTCCTTGTATTGCTTTGGGATTTAATGATATCATCAGTTGTCGCAGAGAAAATGGAGAATCCCCTAGGCCTAGATTTATGTCTTGACAGGTAACTGAAAGATGAACTTAATATAAATTTTAACTGTACTTTCTCCACAGTTTGAAGTCTAGACTTGTGTTCTGCTAATTGTATGGGAGCTCATACAATTAGCAGAACAATAAATAGGAATTATACTTTGCAAAAAGGTGAACCAGAGCAGGAAAATCAAATACCTGACCTGTTTTATTATTGCACATACATTAAACCACATCACCTCCCATAGATACCCATCAAAGCTCAAGGAGAAAGTACATAACATGATGTGTTAAAATGCTGCTATCATGAGTTCAAGTTCTTCTCTTGGTTCTTCTCTGGTATACACTAAGGGCAGATGTCTATGTAAATGTGCAATTGAGATCTGATTAATTTTACACTGAATCTCAAAAACTGAGTGATTTTTGGGATCCAACAAAAAATTCAGCAGGCCCCAGTTCTGCAAATGCCAGAGTGCAAGGAGCCTGGGAGCAGACCTTCAAAGGAAACATGACCTCAGGGACTTCAAAGATGCACTTCCTGAAGTGTCCTTTCTAACTGGTGGCACTCCACAATGCCAGGCTCCCCATGCACTCAGGCCTTTAAAGATATGGTGGGTTGCCCAGCATTGGGGAAAAGGTTCACCGATGCCAGACTTCATGGCATGCTTTTCAATGGCCAGGCTGTGTCCCATCAATTGCAGATAAATGTAAAATCTGTCAGGCGCCTACGAGAAACTAATGATTTTGATGAAGTTATTGTGGAATTGTGTTGTCATAACCAAGAGTAGAACCTGGCACAGCAGATACACTACATAACCCAAGAAACCTCTCCAAACTCCAATGTGTGTGGATGAAAGGTCTGATGTTCATTTTATGCTTAGCTCCATTAGACACCCCTAAGTTTGCAGGACCAGGCCATCTTCTACTGTCAATCTACATAGCTGCATAAATATGTTGATGTATACCAGCTGAGAATCCAGCCCTTTGTGTTTACTCAAAAGCTTATTTGAACAAGGCAAATCTCCAGCATCTGGAAAATTCAGCTGAAAATGTCATGAGAAGAGTTTTCCTGTGATGTTTCAGCTCTTCCACTTCTGGTCTGGCCTGTCTATGTGCAGAGACATGTGAAAATGAAAAACGATGTGAATCTGGAAAGCAATTTCAGCAAGTTTTGTTTTGAACAAATGTATCTAAACCTAATCACATTCCCCATGGAAGAGAAAACCATTACATTTGGCAGTAAATGTTTTAGGAATATATGGTTCAATTCTACATCTCCTTAATCCCATTCTTCTTGTTTAATACATAGAACCAGAAGTTTCCCCCTTGTTATTTCTGTACCTGATAACATTAGGCCAGTCTGTGTTTGGAGAACAGCAGCACCACATGCAGAGGACGGCCTCCGGGTAATCATATTGGAACCTGAAATGCAATGGCAATTAAGCTCATATTCACGCTCTATCTGAAGTTTTTCTTTAAGACATGGCCATCACTGATGCCTTAACAATTCGCTAACTTATATAGAACAAATTAACAGGCAACATAGCAGCCCAACTCTATGATGGCAAACTACATATATAAATTTTACCAAATGAAAAAACAACCATATGGATAACATCTTTGCACTGAACTAGTTAAGCCACAAGTAGAGTTTATCTGTCCCTGTACATCAAAGTTATATACAAATGTCATCAGCTGAAGTTAAAAAGATTTTTTTCTCCATGTGTGGTACAGTTGCAATATATTATGGGGGGAGGGAGGAAGGATTTACTGTCCTCTCTGATGAGTCCAGCATTGGCTACTCGTATAGACGCAACGAGATTAGTACAGTCATTGGTGTGCTCTGATAAGGCAATTTTCTTATTCTGATGGGAAATTTTCAAAAATGCTGTAAATTTGTTACGCGCTTTTGGAAATCCCATCCTTCTGCAAGCATTTCGGAAATCCCATCCTGGTGAACAAAAATGAATCCAGGAAATTCAATATCTATTCATAATTAAGAACCATTCAATCTCTGTACATTAGATGCACACAGCTGAAAGGCCACAAGGTGTGGTTTCACACACCGGTTTATGAAACTTCGGTCCCAGACCCCAGTCAGGGTTTGCAGGGACTGCTCCCCACAGGCAAACCCTGGCTGGGGTCTGGGGCCAGGGAAGGGGTTAAACACCCCTTCCCCCACTCAAGCTAACTGCTGGCTGCAACTGTGGACTACAAATCCAAGAGGCACCTGGAAGCAGGAACCGATGAGCAACCCTGCAGAGTCCTGCTACTGTGAATCTGGACTGTAAATCCCAGAGACCTTGGGGGCAACAGGATGAGGAAGGCAACACACAGCCAGAAAGCCATGCTCTTGTCCATCCTTTCCCTCCCCACCCTGCTTCTGGTCTGAGCCACTGCAGGCATGTGGCCCCATTTCCTGAATCAGAAGTAAATTTCTAAAATGTCTGTTCACTTCTGTTTCACTTTAATCTGTGCATCTTGGACTAACCTGCAAAGACTGAATCGATTCAGCCTCAAGCTTTTTGACTGTCTGTACCTAGCCATGCAAAGAGTGGCCTGCATCACCATGGTAGCTTCTTACACAGGTTTCAGAATGATAGAGCTAGTTTTCTTCTCATTAACAATGATTTTACACAAGTGGTACCTCATGATCAAACTGACCTCTCCATAGATAAACCTGTTGAAAACTTGTGAAGAATCCTTCTGGCCCTTCTGGAAGCTCACAAGCTGACAGAGAGAGACATCCTTTAGGGTAATTAGTTAAATCAACATGGCATTTTTACTAAAATGCTTAGAAATCACATCAAAGCAAATGCAGCAGTTCAGTATCACACCCTGCTACGTAGAATGCAAATCCCCAAACAGAAGAATGGGCCAGTTGAACAAACTTTAGTTAAAGTACCCCCTCACACCATTTTCAAGTGCAGGGACACTGATACATGAGATGTGGGGACTGTCTGGAGCACATTAATTAGCATGCTCAGCAGACTCAATTAATCGAATCTGCTCCAACGCACTGTAATTACAGCATGTTGGAACAGCCTCCCTGCACATGTTACAGGCACCCTGTTCTCAGGACAGAAACCTGAGCCTGCCTGTGTAGGATTCTTTTCTACTGAATTGTCAGAGGAAATATCTGTCCTCCTTGGCATGTTGTAGGAAATCTGGGAAAGCAACTGAGGACAAAACAGTTGTGGTCAAAACAGTGCAGATCTTCAAAACTGAAACTATTCATG